TTCATGCATGCTTCTACCTCTGCTTAAAACATTTTTATATATTGATACATACGTAACATACTGCAATGTACATTTCTACCTCTGATCAAGATACTTATACATTGTTTACATTTTGTGGTCATTGTACTCACTTGTTGCACAGTTACTTATTGTATAATATTCTAATATTAAGTCTTAGTCTTTAAGTTATATAGGTATTAAAAATTATAGATCAATAGTCATCTATGTTTGTCATACTTATAGTTAGACTAGTCAGGTTCTTTAGATACATAGAGATTGTATTCTGCATAGATAGGTAATCTTCAACCACTTCAAAGAGGTGGAGAATATGGCATTTAAATAACTTAGGGTTCTGTTGAAGTGAGACACAATTGCTACTGGCAGCACTGATCAATTCCCCCAGAGAATGGTTGAGCACTGAAGACACTCCATTTGGAGCTTGTTTTCTTCTTAGCAAAACTGGCCTTTGTGCAAAGAACTGCCCATGCCTCAACCACTGACAAGGTACATGGTATCCAGAAATGGATAAGCAGGACTGTCAAATCTTGCTAAGTCAGGATAAGACGGTTTTGAAAATTTTTCTCCCTCTGAAAATGGTCTGTTGGTTATTCTAGGCCTTAGCCAAAGCTGGTTGTTTTAATGTTGCAAATGAGACTTTGGGTGATTGCCCAGATAGCCAGTTGTCTCTGTCTTTAATTGCACATTTTGGAAGTTCCTTGATTGCACTTTCTGCTTACTCAAGTAATATTATTTCCCTTCTGGGGTCTTCCATGGGGTTGAAGACTAGATAGTTGCAGTTACTTTCCTCTCATGACTTGGCCAAGTTATTTATTATACAAGACTTAAACTAGTTAGGGTAGGATAATTATTGAATATATTTGTTCTTATTGTATATAATTTTGCATTAGGCTTGGAACTCTCTTATTTAAACAAAAGGGAGAGGTGCTGTAGGAAGTCTTACAGCCAGTGGCTACCTGCCCGCTGGGGCGTGGCCTCTTATACTCTTTATGCTGATGTAGAGCATGCATCTGGCCTCTTTTCCAGCTGTGGGATTCTGTTTCTGTTCTCGGTTCCAGCAGAGGATTCTGATTGTGAGTCTACCCCTAAATAAATAACAATCTATTTCTCAATTCTGGGCTAGTGTGGGATTTCTTTTGTCTTCATCATCATATATCCTGTACAGTTAGGTGGGCACCCAACCTGTTTACAGAACTGAAAATTATGGATTATTATCTCACACTGGTAATTCTCAATCTGTGGCTCAATACCCATTTGAGAGTCAAATGACCCTTTCACAGGGGTTCCTTATCAGATATCCTGCATTCCAGATATTTATATTAGGATTTATATTTATATTATTCATAACAGTAGCAAAGTTACAGTTATGAAGTAGAAGTGAAAATAATTTTATGGCTGGGGGTTACAACGTATGAAACTGTATGTATTAAAGGGTCACAGCATTAAGAAGGTTGAGAACCAATGTTTTATGTGAACAGCCCCCAGCTTTCCAGGAAGCTATCTGTCCTTGAGCAAGCAGGGCTTACAGGTTTCTCTGTCCTTGGGCAAGTGTGCCTTACAAGTTAGAAGCTTTTGTTTTATAGCTCTCTTAAGTAGAGTAATTTAAACTCAAAACATAACGATGGCCCTCACATACAAAATAAAATCAAGTAATTTAGGTGACCTGGGGTTGTGAGATTGTGCAGCTGGCCAAGTGCTTGCCACACAAGTGTGAGGAATTTGGTTCAGTTTCCAGTACTCGCAGTTAAAAGCTGGACACTGGTGAAGCAGAGAGGAGAGAAGCCCTGGAGTTTGCTGGCTAGACGGCCTAGCAGAGTTCAAGAGCTCCAGATTCAGTGAGGGACACTGTCTCAAAAAATAGAGTGGAGAATGACTGGCAGACGCCAACATCAACCTCAGGCTTCCGCATCAGGTATGCTTCAGCATGCGCAACCGCAAACACACAGGCACACGCATACCACCCTTCTCCAATTCTAGGCTACTTAAAGCTGACAAAATTGACATAGTATGTGAATTTGTTATTCAATAAACTCTGATATTGAGGAAAAACACAAATATGTCCATCTGTTACTAACATAGCTCATTTAGCAAAGGAATTAGTTCATTGTTTCTAAATAAAAATGTCTCTTTCTCTATTAAACTCTGGTATTGTGTATTGGTGTTATAGAAAATTTCAAGTATTTGAGTCTTAATCCATGTAGCTAGCAGTTATCATTAGAACAAATCTGTGTTTATTTGAATTAATGGCATTACCTCCTACATACCTAGCAGTTCCTCAGAATTTGAAAGACAGTGAACTCCAGGCTTAAGATGATTTGAATGGAATCCAGTGTCGAATAAAGTTCCTATATTTCATTTGAAATCCAACATTATGATTGTTTTCTAAGAAATGACTAGAATTTATACTAGAACTTGTAAATTATACTAAACATACACCTGATTGGTCCACAACAGCTAGGATGACTTTCTGCTATTCTAGTAAGTTGTAGGTTTATTTGTTGGGAGTAAGTAGAGTGAGGCACATGAAACCTACGATATACATAACTATATACAATAACGCGACTAAAGGGGTAGTGGCAGAGTGCTATCACTGAGTGTTGAGAGATTTTCTTTAGAAAATGACCGCATCAGCAGGGCCGGGGCACGCCTTTAATCCCAGCTCTCCGGAGGCAGAGGCAGGCGGATCTCTGAGTTTGTCTACAGGACTGGTTCCAGGACAGGCTCCAAAACTACACAGAGAAACCCTATCTCAAAAAAAAAAAAAAAAAAAAAAAAAAAAAAAAAAAAAAAAAAAAAAAAGTTTCAAATTAGACGTTCTGAGACAGTTTTGAAGAATATGGGCAATTTCCAAGAGAGCAGAATGGTGGCTATGAAAATTTGGTATGCTACATGACAATAGTCTTTGTTTACCTTTAGTCTCTAATAGTTGAGTCCTTCCGCGAGGAAAGTATGCTCACTATCCTTTTTTTTTTTTTTTACTTCAAATGCTAATTTCCTCAGCATAAATATTGGTTTGGAAAACATTTGACAACACATACAGGACCCTAGGAATTTTTTTTCTTTTTTCTTTTTGTGTGTGAACTAGAAGGTTCTTCGGTTGTTTATTTATTTAAATAAGATCTTTTTCATTTTTTTTTTACATACCAATCAATTTCCCCTCCTTCTCCCTGCCTGTCCTCTCCCCTTTTCCATTTACCCTCTCCCCATCTATTCCTCCTCCCCTCCATTTCCATTCAGAAAGGGACAGGCCTCCAGTAGGCTTGCTCAAGCATGGCACATCAGGTGAGGCAGGACTGAGCTCCTCCCCTGTCAAGGAGGGGCCAGGCAATCCAGCGTGGGGAACAGGTGACCAAAAAACCACCCACCAGAGAAAGGTCCTGCTCACTGTCTTACTAAGAGAGCAAGCTATACACACATGCAGGACCTAGAGGCTCCCTGACTGTTGTTTTCAGCGTCCGTGAGCTCCCGAGAGCTCAGAGCAGCTCTTAGAGTACATCTGATAGCAATTAGGGAAGTCACAAATCTGCTTGCAATTCAAGTACTCTCTCCACCATTGCGCTAGCTAGAGTGCTAGGAGGAGTCTTAGTGGGGTCTAGATTTAAAACAAAGTTGTTGGGTTTTTTTGTTTGTTTGTTTTGTTTTTTGGTGTTCGGAGACAGGACTTCTCTGTGTAGATTTGGAAACTGTCCTCTCACTAGCTCCACCAGGCTAACCTTGAACTAAGAGATCCACCTGCCTCTGCCTCCCAGCGCTGGGATTTACCTCCCGGCTAAGAAAGGTCCTTTCACAAACCTGTTTCATATCAACAATACTGAAACCATGTCCTCTTCCTCTTTGCTTATGCCTCTCCCACTCTTCTTCAAATTGGGGAACGTATACTTTTAAGAAGGGGCTCAAATGTCATTCCCTGGTGAAGTTTTTTTTTCTGTTTTTTTTTTTTTTGTTTGTTTGTTTGTTTGCTTTTGTTTCTTTCGAGACAGGGTTTCTCTGCAGCTTTGGAGCCTGTCCTGGAACTAGCTCTTGTAGACCAGGCTGGCCTCGAACTCACAGAGATCCGCTTGCCTCTGCCTTCCGAGTGCTGGAATTGAAGGCGTGCGCCACCACCGCCCGGCAGGTTTTAGGTTTTTGAGACAAGTTCTCACTCTAGCCCAGACTCACCTCGAACTCGCAACAATCTTTCTGCTTCTGCCTCCCCGTCGAATCCTAAGATTCCACGAATTGGTGAGCCCCACCTCACCGGCTGAGGACTTAACAAGTCAGATAGACGAGATCTCAGATCAGCTCCAGGGCTCACTACGGGGAGTACATTCCCTAGCACAGCATAATGGGATTAGTTATTCCTCTGTGGTGCTGAATCCCTGCGGGTGAGAGTTGGGAGTGCCAGGACTGTATCTTTCTCACTGTTTCATCTCTGTGGAGCCTAACATTAGACACCCGGTAGGTTCGGTATTATCAGCGCGTCCCATCCAGGTGACTCTCCAGGTCCCCGAGGTGGCGCCACCGCAGGCGTTTCACCTGGTGCACCGGTTCCCGCCAACAGATCGTTTGAAATCTAGAGGCGGCGCGGCCGCAGGGGAGCGGAGCGGGTCCCTCAGGACCACCGCCTGCGGGAGCCTCGAGCTGCCCGCACCCGCTGGCGGTCCCCCCGGGGGCGACCCTGGCCTCTGCAGACGAGGGCGCGCTTCTGGAAGAAGTCTTCCAGGCGCTGCTTTGGCCGGAGACGCTGTCCGGTTTTGCCTAACGGTGACCGGAAGGGTGGGAAGAAAGGGGGCGCAGGGATCTGTGGGTGTCCTGAGACAGGTCCTGGCTGGCGGCGCAGTGCAGTCGCACCGAACCCACCGCTCAGTCCCGCCGGCCGGGACCCCGAGACGCCACTCAGCTGGCCCGGGAACCCGGCGCCACGCCCACTGTGGGAGGAGCGCCGTCATTCGCGCGAGAACTCGCCTCGCCTCGCCTCTGCCTAGAGCAAAGTCTCGCGAGAAGCAGCTAAGGAGCCGGCCTGCAACCTGCCGGGGCGGCTCTGGTAGGCGCAGCTGGTGGAGCGGCCGCCTCACACCTAGCACCGGAGGGATCCGGTTGAGTAGGCGGGGGACGCGGGGCGTCGCTCTCGTAGCCCTTCTCCTCGCCCCGCAGTGGACGTCTCAGAGGCCGGCAGGTTGGAGCGGGTCGGGCTCGGGTGGCTGGGTTTGCGGTGGAAACCGAGGGCGAGGCTGGTTGCTGTGGCCCGGGTCCGGGTGGCTGGCGGCGGCTGGAGAAGCGTGGGTGGCGCTCAGAGCTCCCGGCTCGGGCACCGGGTCCGGAGAGGCGGAGAAGGGTGATGCTTTGTGGGTTAGGAGCCCGGAGGCCTTTCCCCAGGGGAAAAAGGCGATCCCTCACACCTCCTTTCCAACCTCCTTTCCAGGGCAGAGTAACCCCGTGCCCCGCCCCTTTCCTGTCATCTTTGGGACACCGCAGCGACAACCCGAAGAGGGCGCATCACAATAGGGCGGTGAGTAAGGCTCCCAGTTTGGGGATAAGGTGGTGGGGAGTCGCCCTCTGGGTGGAGGATGAGACACCTGTAATGTGCTGCGTGGCTTTATCCTGTAGCCGTATCAACAATGGTAAAGCTTTGTGTGCCCCTAACTTGCCCAGAAAAGGTTCTGATTTATTCTCTGTAAGACACAAGTCTTTTATCCCCTCTTGTAGTTGGGATTTCTCTTAGCGGTTTGTTAGTGCGGGCCAGTGTGCTTAGGCTCGGCCTTTACCGGATTCCCATTTCTGTTTTTTCTCTTTAGAAATTTGAGTCTGGGCCCTAACAGAATTACTGTTTCTCGCCCCTTATTGGTATTTGGAGTCCGTGACATGCTAAGAACAGTTTTCCACTTTGCGCACTTAGTATATGAAATTATTTTCTAGCCATGCTTTCCGAGTCTTCGTGCCTTTTATTTAACAGTCTGAAGGAAGCGGTACATTCATTCTGAAGGTGTATTGATTGGCAGTTGGGTTTCTGCTGTTCTTCTCTGCCCCGTCACTTTTCTTACCTCCACTCGCCAAATTCGATCAGAGCTTGTCAGAGAGGGGTTTAGGGATGGGTTCTGAATGAAAGAGACTGGAGAAATCGGAATAAAAGATACAATAAAAATAAAGTGTGCGAATGTAAAAGCTAAAAGGGTTTCCGTATGGGAGAGGCCATCTAGAATCTAACCCTGGGCTTTGAACCAAGGGCTGATACTTGAATATTAAGCAGAAAGCAGTAGAACATAACTTGGAAAATTATTTAATAGTAGATAAAGATTGAGTTAATTAAGTTTTTGAGGAGAGTCATTTTTGGAATTTTATGCTTAATAATTTTCTCTGACATCGAGCTTATTATTTAACTTTTATTCTTCTGAGTGGAGAGAAGGTAAGAAGGGAATTTCAGAAGCACAGAGTGTGGCAAAGATCCACTGATAGAGTTCAGAAAGTTCCAAACAATATTTTTGAGTTTCTACACATTTTTTTCACACTCTCATTTTGTAGGTGGGCCTTTTACCTCCCCTGTGTTTTTCTCCCACCAGTCTGAATTTTGTTCTATTTTATTCTTTCTGTTCTTCAAAGATATGTGTAATTTTTTCACTATTATGTGAAATCACAGAGAACGTGGTCTACTTGTGGCCTTTTACATCTAAATGGCCTACTGAAGTGTCCAAGTGATCTGGGAATGCTGTGCATCTCAGAGAACTGGGAATGAGCAACGTTCACATGCCTTCAGGTACCAGACAGATAAGGAGCATGTCAAATGCACCAGAGAGCTGTCTTGTCTGAGAGGCATCAGTGCCCGCATCCGCCCGATTAATTGTGTATATGAACGTGGAGTCAGTCAGCATCGTTCTTAAAAGAATATAGGGACTGCAGAATTTTAAATAAAATCTCCTGAAACAGCGTCATGTGTCCCAACCAAACTTAGTTGTGTTTTGATCTTCAACATGTGAAACTATTTTATTTTATATCTGGTTTAAGAGTAGTATTTTAAGTCAGAATTTTATAATTTTATAGCTGGAAGCAAAGGTTTAAATCAACCTATGTCAGCTAATTTGGATTACAAAATTTTAAAAGAATTGGGGAAAATGTCAGATCTTATTAAAACTAGTAGGTGGGTTTAGTGCACTTTAAATTCAGTGCTCCAGGCCAGGCAGTGGTGGCTCACGCCTTTAATCCCAGCACTCGGGAGGCAGAGGCAGATGGGTCTCGGTGAGTTTGAGACCAGCCTGGTCTACAAGAGCTGGTTTCCAGGACAGGCTCCAATGCTACAGAGAAACCCTGTCTCGAAAAATCAAAAATAAATAAATAAATATTAAAAAAAAAAAAACAAAGAAAAGAAAGAAATACAGTGCTCTAAATTAAACAGGTACTTTATATAGTAGCCTCTCCTTTTCTACACTTCTGCTTTTGTAGTTTACTCCTGGCTTGAAATTATTAGATGGAAAAATCCCAGAAATAAGCCCATATGTTTTAAATTGCATACTGTTCAAAGTACAGTGATAAAACGGAGTTTCTGCCATCATCCCTCCCGGAGCATAAACCACCCCTTTGTCCAAGTGATTGTGACCAGAATGTGCTACCCATGCTTTTGCCAATTTAGTAGTCATTTGGTTATCAGACTGGTTTCTGGTTTCACAGTGTGTTCAAGACCCTTTATTTAATGATGGCCCATGGTACTAAAGTAGTGCTGTTCCTAACTCATACATGCCAACAAGAAACCATAAAGTGCTTCTTGTATGTGAAAAACATGAACGTTCTGAACTCATAAGGAAAGAAAAACACATGTCAGTTTGCTAAGATGTGTAACTCTGCGGTTACAGAACTTTATATTGTTACTGCTTTTCTATTTTATTGTTAATTATTGTTGTAACTGTGCCCAAGCAGTGAAGTTTCCCATAGGTCTGTACATGTAAGGAAAAGCATAGAATACCTGGGATTCATTTGGTTCTAGTCACAGTTTTAGGCATCTGCTGCCTAACTGGAATATATACTTTAAGAGGGGACTATATTACACATTTTTACTATGGGAATAACTGATGAGAAACTTTTCAGTGTTTAATATTAGATTTATAAATATCTTAAGAGTAAATTGGTATATTTAGAAGGCCACTATTATACTTGTACATATATATATGATTAAGTCCAAGAGACCCTCTACAGTTCGTTTCAGAATTCTAGTATTTATTCTTTGTTGTACCTTACCACATTGTGTCCCTGGGCATTGACTTTTACCAAAGGAAATATGGATTCCCTGGCTCATGGGGAGAACCAGAAGGTTGGAAATAGGAGGAAGAAAGTGTGGTGTGATGCAGACACACTTGTGCTTCTTACTTTTTCTCGTAAGAAGAGTGGATACTTTGGTTAAACTTTGTGCCTAATACATAGTATGACTTAATAGCATTTGTGGAATTGAAGCTTGAGGATTAAAATTCATTTACCCATTAGTAGGAAGTACTTTAATCACATAATCTGCTTCATGTTTTGTTGGACTGTGAGGAATAGGAGTTTTTAGGTCAAACTCCAGTCCCAAGAGATGGGTCTTACAAAGTGAAGATCTGTAGCTTAGTGGTAAAGGCATGAGAGAAACAGTTCTGAAAAGGAAGATAGAGCAGCTAAATACCCTCTATTCCTGTGCAGTTGTACAAACAGGACTGTTTTCCACTCCAGAGTTTATTATGTCTTGTATAAAACTGCAAAGGACATTGTTTTTTTTTTAAGTCAGGACTTTTGAGGAATTTATAGACTAGATTTTCTTCTTTTTAGCACAGTCTTTTCAAGCTCAGCTAGGCTAATGTCTCATCAGCCCCCTGCTTCTCTATAGAACAAGAAGTGAAAATAGGAGACACATACTCTGTAAGATGTTCCTATTTGAGAATTAAATTTGGGGGGGGATTTGTCTTACTTTTGTTCAGAGTGTACCTGTTGGTGGGGGTGGACTATCACCACCCCATGTTTCTGTAAGTAGGAAACGCTCTTCTTGCAAGTAGCTTTTCACCCCCTCCTTCCACCTCCGAAATGATTTCTCAAATGAGGATTAGAAGAAGGGGTTGAATGTCCTGTCCTCAGTGCCTTTGGTTGTTTTTGGGTCTCCTGATTCTTAGGACATACATTTTCAATATATTCATCTGTATGGTAGGTTTATCTGAGCAGGCTGGACCTCTATGAGGGAGAAGGAAATGGAACACCTACATGTCTAACTGGGTAAGTTTAATTTACAATTGAAGTGATTTATAATTTGGTCAGTGGCTTTGATTATATTTTTAATCCTCATCTAATGCCTTTGTTTTGTTTCTTTGTTGATTTGAAGTAAAATTATGGCAGAGGTAGGGTTGGGGAAAGAAGTAGTTACAGATTTTTGTAACAGAGGAAACATTACAAGTTGCACATCCCTAATCCCAAAACCTGAACTCTGAAATGCTCTAAAATCTGAATTCTTCTGAGCTCTTTACTAATCTAATGGTGTTTCATGTGTCAAATTACCTTTAGAGTGTGGGTATAGGATGTTTATGAAATGTAAATGAACTTTGTTTAGTTATTCCAAGATAACTCGTATATGCAAACATTCCAGAATTTTAGAAAAATAAATCCACAAATCTGGAAACTGAAACACTTTTGGTCCCACGCATCTCAGATAAGGATACATAACCTGTTTTTGAGTTTTGTTTTCCTCTCTTTACTAGAATGTTTATTAGGCTTCAACCTAAAGTTGCAGTTTCCTTAATATGGCCTGCTGTTTTACTTTGTGGTCCTTGAAACCAGTACCACCTTGCTAAGAAGGTAGCAGGCTAGAGCTCAGAGGTAGAAGGTAAGCAGTTAGAATTCAGAGATGCTCTTTAGAGAAAGATTAAAAGCTTAGCAAAGTTTCTGTGTGTGCAGTAGGAATACAGTGGGTCAAGTACAGCTTTAGAGTGTTTGCATGTCAGAGTTCTGGATTAGTTCAGTTAGAGTCTGAGGGCCCATTCTGAATAGCTCTAGAGTCTGAAACACTTGCCATCCCAAGCATACTTAGCCTCTGTTTAAGAAAGTAAAACATAAAGAGGAAAGAATTCGGTAAATATGCAACCTTACGTTACAGATTCCTGAAGATTGTAGGGTATTGTTGCTTTTATCTTTGCCAATAAAAGCAAAGCTACCTTACTTTATTAATTTAATTGTATTATGTTTAAAAATGTAGTGTACCTGTTTATATAATAGTGCTGTTCCTTGATATCCGAGGAAGATTAGTGTTAATCACTGCATGAATACAAAATCCTTAGATAGTGAAGCTCTTTTAAAAGGTGGAGTAATGTTTGGGTATAACCTACACACAATAAGTCCTATGTATACATTATGTCATTTTGAGATTACTTAAATGTTTAATCCAGTGTAAATTCTGAGCAAATACTTGTTCTACCATATTTAGAGAATAGTGACAAAACTCTAAAATTTTGAGTTCATTAAATCTGTGGGTTTTGAACATGAGAATACAGAAGGTTGACCACTCATTTTTATTTTTGTGGTAGAAGAAATGGTTGATTAGTATTTGGGGGACATAAAATTGACATTTAGTATTTGGCTGGGTATAAGATGAGCGTCTATCATAATGAGTCACTGCTTAAAATACTACTTGATTAGAAACTATGAATGATATTTTTCTAAGGTCATTTAAAATTGTTGTATTTTATGGTTGTTACTTTGTAGTTTTCATTTTCTTTTGTTTTTTTGAGACAGGGTTTCTCTGTAGCTTTGGGACCTGTCCTGGAACTTGCTCTTGTAGACCAGGCTGGCCTCAAACTCACAGAGATGCTCCTATCTCTGCCTCCTGAGTGCTGGGATTAAAGGTGTGCGCCACTACCGCCCAGTGCTCTTTTAAAATTGTAATCATATTTTTATTTTTGAGTTATCTGGAATCATCTGTGTTTGAGTTTAAAGCTCACTGTTAGCTCTTGACATTAAAGTTCCTTAGTCTCTGTAAAATTTTGTTTCCTCACATGAAAATGTGTATAGGACATCCTTGTTAGAGATTTAAGGATGAAAGAGTATTTTAAAATGTTGTGTAAATAGTAGAATAATATAGCAATATAAATTGTTAGCACTTTGCTTTTTCTTTATTTATACCCAGAAGATAGCATATTGGCATTTTTGCTCCTACTATCCTGCCTATCTACCCTGTGTTTTTGAAACATATCCATCAGTTAATATATGTAAATTTTGCCCATCTCATTTAGAGAGGACAAGTTCAAATTTTTATTTACAACCTTTGGCAGTACAATTCTTCAACTACAATTTCAAAAATTTTCTTTTACTTTTCTCCAATAAATGTTGAACAGTAGGAAGCCCTTCTTGTTTTTCATATTGGTATCCATCATTGTCTGGTATTCGACATTTTATATAATTTGAATGCCAAGTAGAAAATAAGAGGAGTAGGTATATTGAACTGTTTTCTAAAAACCAAAACATTCATTAATTTAAATTGTTTTACTTTCCACTTTAAGATTTTTTATTATTATTACCTGTAATGAATAGAACATTTTGGACTTTTTACTTGGGAGACTATGTAAAATGACAACTTAAAAATAATATTTATTTATTTATTTATTATTTTTTCAAGACAGGGTTTCTCTGTAGCTTTGGAGCCTGTCCTAGAACTTGCTCTTGTAGACCAGGCTGGCCTCAAACTCACAGAGATCTGCCTTGCCTCTGCCTCCCAAGTGCTGGGATTAAAGGCATGCACCACCACCACCTGGCAACTTAAAAGTAATTAAAAAATTATTGTGGGTTGTAGAGGATGTCCATACCTCAGAGCATATGTGGAGGTCCAAGGACAGCTTGTGAGATTAGTACTCTTCTTATACCTTCACATGGCTTCCAGAGTTTTAACTCAGGTTACCAAGCTTATAGTACAAACCACCTTTGTCCACTGAGCCCCCTTGTCATCCTCCTCATCCTTATAAAAATACATTTTAAATCTCAGTTACCTAAGAAAGATAAAAGTTTGCAACAAGGCCTGGAGAGATGGCTCAGAGGTTAAGAGCACTGATTGCTCTTCTAGAGGTCCTGAGTTCAATTCCCAGCACCCACATGGTGACTCACAACCATCTGTAATGAGATCTGGTGCCCTCTTCTGGCCTGCAGGCATACATGCAGTCAGAACGCTGTATACATAATAAATAAACCCTTTTTTTTTAAATTGTAACAAATAATTTTTATTTTTTCTCATTTTTGGATGGACATACAAAGTGCTGACTTATTTTAAAAATATTTCATTTAGGTCAGTTTGTTTTACAGAATATGGGCTTGAATTTCATTTTCTATTGTTCAGAGAGCAAATGGTACTGTCTGTTCCTTTTAACTCATTTGTTCATTTAGAAGGTGTGTGTGTGTGTGCGCGTGTGCTTCTCAGACCCAGGACCTTGTGCTTTGACATCCTAGTAGGCTCTATTCCTGAGCTGCATCCCTAAGCCATGTGACAGCTGCTTATAGAAACCTGTAACTTCTAGTTAAATTAACTGTAGGACATTCTTCATTTATTTTTATTAAGTTCTCCCAAATTACTAGTTTCACCTTCAAAATAAAATATTTATATTTAGTTTATTAGAGACTAGCAGAACTGTCAAACCATAATATTTAAAAGTATTTTAAAATAATTAATGCTCTAAAAATGGGCAGGGAAAACTGAAGCACGCACGGATCAAGACCTCTTAGCCGATTAGGATAGTAAATAATACCTAGAATTGGGAAGGCTGAGCAACAAAATAGATTGACAGTTTGCTGAGTGTTTTATTCCACTGCCCACTCTGGTGGGTTCCACGTACTATTTTACGAGGTATGTGAAAATGTTTATCATGCAGCAGGAAAGAGACATTAGAATTAATATTTGTATTGGGTTTGGTTTTTTGAGGCAGGGTTTCTTTGTGTAGCCCTGGCTTTCGTGGAACTTGTTCCATAGACCAGACTGGCCTTGAACTTTAGAGGTCTGCCTGCCTCTGCCTCAGAGTTCTGAGATTAAAGGCGGGTGCCACCACCTTCCCGTGAAAACTGCGTGTTTAAGACTAATTCTTAGAACATTTTTTTCATCTAATCTGATGCTTATTGGGAACTAGTCTGTAGCCTTGGTTCCAGGCACAGATGCCTTCAAGGAGTTAAGTTAGCATATAGCAACTATTTGCATTTTTAAGTGCATTGGTGTTTTGCCTGCATGTATGTTTGTGTGAGGGTCAGATCCCCTGGAACTGGAGTAACAGAAAATTGTGAGCTGCCAAGTGGGTGCTGGAAATTGAACCTGGATCCTCTGGAAAAGCAACCAGTGCGCTTAACTGATGAGCCATCTCTCCAGCCCCTGACTGTGCATTCTTGTTTCTTATACTAGAATTTTTTGTTTTAAAAGATTGTTGTTGGATTTTTTAAAGCTTTATTTTATTTATGTGTGTCTGTATGTTTGTGTCTCTGAGTGTATGCACACATGTCTGTGTGCACATGGAGGCCAGAAAAGAACCTCATTTTTCTGAGCTGGAGTTACTGTTGTTTGTTGGATGCTTGGTTTATGTGGGTGCTGGGATCTAAACTGGTCCTCATGATTGTATAGTAAGTGCTTTTAAACACTGAACCATCTCTCTAGCTCCCAAGGCTCAGAGGTTTTTCTTTGTTTGTTAATTTAAATGTGAAGCTTAGTGGTTTGGGTGCTTATTCTGAAAGTCAGTATTCATCTATTATTTCTCCCTGACTTTGTTTTTATGTTCCACTTTGAACATTTTGCTTTCTGGAATTTGGGGGAAATAAAATAATATTAGGAAAGAAAGTTCTTTGTTCTGTTTTAGAATCTTATCTGTCATCTTTTTATCTCTTGGCATTTTGAAATGCCACCACTTTTTATTTTCTGGGTTTGACTTCTGATGTGTTGTATATTAAATCTGAGAGATGATATAGTATAGTGGGGAAAATACCTCCAAATCTGACTGTAGAGATGCAGATCCCAGCTTTGATTGGTGATGTAATAGATGCTAAAGCAAGTTACTGAAATCAGTCTTAATTTAAAGGTCTTTGAATATAATTTTTTTCTTTTTTGGATTTTTCTAGACAGGGTTGCTCCGTAGTTTTTGGTTCCTGTCCTGGAACTAGCTCTTGTAGACCAGGCTGGCCTCGAACTCACAGCGATCCACCTGCCTCTGCCTCTGGGATTAAAGGCGTGTGTCACCACCGCCCAGCTTGAATATAATTTTTTT